ATTATAAGACTCTGGGACAAAGGATACTTCTCAAAAGAATTTAGGGATTTCTAGAGAAATGACAGTTTGATCCAGTATTTAGATGCTCTCCCTCCTACCATTCTAAGTCGATAACACTAAAGAAACTTTAAAAGCTATAACCCCACAGGGAGGAGACAATAGTGATGGACAGATGGCAACACATTTTTGTATGGTGAAAGATGAGGGACTTCCAGGTTAAGATGGCAGATTGATCACACACATCTAATTCTTCTCTCTCCCAGAATCATAATAGGGCTTCCTTGGTGGCTCAGTGATAAAGAATCTGTCTGCCAATGCAGGAGACATGGGTTCAATCCCTGGGTTGGGAAGATCCCTTGGAAGAGGAAATGGCAACCCACTCCAGTACTCTTATTTGGGAAATCCTATGAACAGAGGAGCCTGGCAGCTACAGCTCATGGGACTGCAGAAGAGTTAAGACAGTACTGTGACTAAACAACAACAAAATTCTAATAAAACAAGGATAAAGAAAATTTTGCTGTTGTTTTTAGGACACTAACCATAAGGATCAAGAGAATGGAACAAACAACAGCAACAAAACCTTGAAAGGTGGAGAGATGGATGAGTGGTAACTGATTTGGTCAAAGACAAGTAGTGTTTGCAAAGACAGCAGTGCTGACCACCAAGAACAAACCCAGTTTACAGTACAGAATCCTCAAAGGGTTCCGGAACTGCCAGAGCAAAGAAGGGAGAGACTGAAGAAGGAAAGATCAGGTGAAAACTGAACAGTTAGAAACCTAGAGCCGCATTCCTCTTCCAAGCCACTGAGTGATCTGACCTCAATAAGGCAGCAGATTAGAGATTCAGTCTCTAAAAAGGGTAAACCATACATCGTGAAAGATGGAAGCCAATTATGTGTCCCTTCACATTACATGCTTTATGGCTCATTACCCAACTCTCTTTTCCTGAGTTCCCAGACCACTGGCAACTAGACCTCTGGCCTCCAAGCAGAAAACTTCCATACTCTCTGGGAAATCAAATCAGGCCAAAAGGAAAGACAGATACTGGAGAGAGGCTCAAACAGCCCACTCAAATCAATGGCTTCAATCCTGACCATACATTGGAATCACCGGGGCAACTTTAGAAAATACTGGTGCTAATCTATGCAGAAAGAAATCAGAATAGGGGTTGCCTCTGGGCAGGGAATGGGGAAGATAGAAGAAAGGGATATGAAGTAATTGTCTGGGTTTTTCACTATGCTCTGTACTGTGTGTTAATTACACAGGTGTACACATAGCAAAACTATCAAACAATACACTTACTCTATATATTTTACTATGGGCAATCACACCTAAATTTTTAAAAGTAATGCTACCTAATGTATTTGGTCTCTCAATCACAAGCAAACAACCAAGGATTACCAGACCTCTGAGGAGGGTCTCTACTGCTGAGACTAAACCAAACAGGAAAAAAAAGTAACTTGGAGGAAATAAGCTATGTAAGGGAAAAAACAGCTTAAAGAAACTATCTTTAACATTCTCAGGCAGATCAAGAGATATGCCATCTATGAAACAAGAAAAGAGATGAAAAAAACAAGTAACAGTTAGAGGACAGGAAGTAGAGGACAAGAAGTCAAACCTCCAGGCCTGCAGAAGGGAATAACATCAACACACTGACAGGCCTACTCAGAACCCCAGAAAGGCTCAGCCCTTGAGAGTCTCCAGGTAAACAGTCAGTGGGGAAGAAGTAAAGCACTAAAAAATCAGGTTAGTGGTTTAAAGTCAGCTAGTCCGTCTAGTCAAAGCTATGGTTTCTCCAGTGGTCATGTATGGATGTGAGAGTTGGACTGTGAAGAAAGCTGAGCGCTGAAAAATTGATGATTTTGAAATGTGGTATTGGAGAAGACTCTTGAGAGTCCCTTGGACTGCAAGGAGATCCAACCAGTCCTGGGTGATTCATTGGAAGGACTGATGCTGAAGCTGAAACTCCAATACTTTGGCCACCTCATGTGAAGAGTTGACTCACTGGAAAAGACCCTGATGCTGGGAGGGACTGGGGGCAGGAGGAGAAGGGGAAGACAGAGGATGAGATGGCTGGATGGCATCACCGACTCAATGGACATGGGTTTAGGTAGACTCCAGGAGTTGGTGACGGACAGGGAGGCCTGGCTTGCTGCGATTCATGGGGTCGCAAAGAGTCGGACACGACTGAGCGACTGGACTGAACTGAAAGGTTTTCCTGGTGGCTCAGAAACTTGCCTTCAATGCAGGAGACCCAGGTTCCATCCCTGAGTCAGGAAGATTCCCTGGAGAAGGGACTGGCTACCCACTCCAGTATTCTTGTCTGAAGAACCCCATCGCAAAGAGTTGGGCACAACTGAGCACACACACACAGTCTGTATGTGGACCTGCAGTTTCCCTTCTCCCCCATTCACATCCTCTCATAAATTTAGTCTCTGGAAACACAGACTTGGAGAGACTCCAGACTCAAGAAGAGTGGAGAGAGGCTCAAGGCTGAAAGCCAAGGAATAAAGCAGAAGTATGTATAGTGAATAGCAGCCCCCACCCACAGCCCACTTCCTTTGCCCAGCTCTCAGAACACTGGAAGCAGGCATATTACCTCCCCCACAGTTTGATTTAAAGGTCCCTTTTGCATGCAGCCAAACCAATTTTCATCATAGCAAGATAAAGGTCTTTTCTTGAATTTCTACAACTCCTCCTAGACTCTAACTCCTTAAAAGCAGGGGCAGCATCTTAATCAGCTTTGTATCCCCAGAGCCTAACACAGTCACACTTTATATTAAACACTCTACAAATCTTTAATTTGTCTCAGACCCAGGAGATAACATGCAAATAGAAAAAGATTAGAAAACCTTGGAAAATTAGAACATACAAGGTGTAATCTGGACTAGGTATCAAAGGGAGATTAAAAATTTAGGATTTATTAATGAAATGATGTCTGGGATTAGTTTTAAAATAATTTCCGAGCCACTCCCCCCACTCCCAAAATCAGTTGTATTTCTGTATACTGGCCACAAATGCTTTAAAATATCATTTACAAAAAAAAAAAAATCATTTACAATAACATTAAAAATATCAAATACCTACAAATAAATAACAAATGGTATGCAAGACTTTAATACAGAAAACTACAAAACATTAGAGAAATTTTAAAAGACATAAAGAAATGGAAGAACATACCACATTCATAAACTGGAAAGCTCAGTTTTGTTAAGAACTGAATTCTCTCCAAATTGATAAACAGATTCAATTCCAATCTCCAAAATCTGTATGAAAGGATAAGATTCTGAAATTTATATGGAAACGTTAAGAGCCAAGAACTGCCCAGACCATCTTAAAGAACAAAATAGGAACGACCCATTTCAAGGCTTATTATAAAGTTACATCAATTAATACAGTGATACTGGTGCAAGGGTAACAAATAGACCAGTGAAACAGAATAGTGTCCAGAAACAGATTCACAGTTCTATATGTTCACCTGACTTACGAAAAAGAGTCACACAGTGCAGAGGGGCAGGGATGATGTATATTCAATGAATGGTGCTGGGTCAAATATACACCCATATGGTAAAAAATGAATCTTGACCCCTACAATCCACCTACAACTTACTGTAAATTGTACAACTTAAATGTAAAAAGTAAAAATAAAACTTCTGTACGATAACATGGGTGGAGAAGGCAAGGCAACCCACTCCAGTATTCTTGCCGGGAAAATCCCATGGACCGAGGAGCCAGATCGGCTAAGGTCCACAGGGTCACGAAGAGTCGGACACGACTGAAGCAACTGAGCACACACACTTGGTAACATGAGAAATCATCTCCACATTCTTAGGCAAAGCAAGGATTTCTTTAATAGGTCACAAAAAACAGTAATCATAAAGACAAGGACTAAGTATATTTCATTAAAATTAGCAATTTCCATTCATTAAAAAAAAAACAGGCCATCAAGATGGAAAAGACAAGATACAAAGTGGAAAATGATTAAGTCCAGAAAGGACTCATTGGAGATAGATGTGTATACACATACACAAACAGAACTCATATTCTGAATAAAGAATTACAAACCAATAAAAAATAATAAGATTTAACAGGCACTTCACAAAAGACAACATATAAATGGCCAACAAAAGGTACTCAACCACAATCATCAGAAAAATGTAAAATAAAGCTGCTGCTGCTGCTAAGTCTCTTCAGTCGTGTCTGACTCTGTGCGACCCCGTACATATATATTACTGCACTTCCACTAAAATAGCAAAAATTTTTAACACTGAGAAGCATTAACAAGGACATGAGGTAAACGGAATACCATTCCCTGCTAATTGGTAAAACTACTTTGGGAAAATGTTCAACTGGATCTAATGCTAACTTTATTATTCTAATGCTAATATTTTATTATTCACATACCTCATAAATCAAGTTCCACTCCTGGATATAAACCCCAATCCTGCAATGTTCCGTTTCTTGATCTGTAATAGTACACTTAGTAAAAAGTCTTTACCTGCATACTCAAGACTGGCACTTTTTAAAAATACGTTATACTACAATAAGTTTTCTAAGATTTGACACAAATTTCTCAGAGACCTTAAGGCTAGCATTTTAGAATAGGAGCTTCTGGTAAACTGCATAAAGTTTATTAATAGCATTTTTGAAAAACAAAACAAAAAAGCTACTAATACATTTCAGTCCAGAACAAAGGTAAAAACTACGAACAGATAACTTCAGGATTTTCATGAAGCACCAGATTTCTTTCCCCAATGGAAGGATTCTGTTATTCTATACTGAAACCCACAGAAGAGAGATCTCTGAAAGAAAATGCTGCTTTTTGAAACCACTTCTAACAACAACAGATAGGAGTAAAGCGAAGGAACCATTCCAAAAGTTTTGGCTAACTCTTCGGTGAAAGGATGCCAACTGATTAGATCTATGATGCCCAAAAGACAGAAAGACACAAAGAAATCACAGCAACTCTAAATCAAACACTAACACCACAATCCAACCTACCGGAAATTCTGTGGTTAATTTGAGGCTTGCCCCTCTAGTCATAAGGTGATTTCAGTGATGGCTACGACCGCTCCCAAATGCATCCTTGGGCGTCATTTACCACACCTGGCTCGCCCATCACCTGCCTGGAGACATGGCCTTACGCAGAATCCCCGAGGCCAAGTAAAGACGCCAACTTCGCAAGAGGCGCGGACAGTCTCGCCCCATCTGGTAACCCAGAGGGAACAGACTCCTGGCCTCGAGCGCGGAGGTGAAGAGTCAGTATGCCCCACAGGATATACGAGGAAGCGCCCCCGAAACAGCCTCGCCCCTTCATCTCCCTGGGAAACTACTGGGAGTCCCGCTGGCGAGTTTCTTCCGCAGCAACCGCGCTGGGGAGGGTCCGGGTGGCCACAGGGAACTTAGGCCCCAGTGGGGCCGGAGGCGCCCGCCCCGCTCGCGCCGCCAAGTTTAGTGGCGGCCCCCACTCGCCGCGCCTCGGCCCGGCTGTGCGTCCCGCGGAACTCGGGCTCGCGGCCCGCCCGGCCTGGCGCGGCGCCCCTCACCTTGGAAACGTTGGGTGGACTCCGTCGTAAACATTAACTTCCCATCCAGCCGGCAGCCGAGCCGCCGCGTCTCAGCGCCTCGGCCTCGCTCCCGGCTTCGCGGGCCGCCCTCTGTGCCTCCTCTCGAGCGCCGCGCTCACTCAGGAGCTCGGGGCCGCCTCCGACCCTGACCCCACTTTTGCCGAGCCGCCGCGGTTTCAACTACCACCCGACCCCTAGCGTGCCCGCCGCCGGCTCCTCCCGGGTCCGGCCCGGCCGCGTCAGGAAGGCTCAAGGCGCAGGCGCGGGAAGGGCCTTAAAGAGACCCGGCCGTCTCTACCGCAGAATGGGTTCGAGCAGGTTAGGGGTCGGGCCGGCCAGCCGAGAATAGGAGAAGCCGAAGGGATTGGACCGTGGGGGACGGGGGCGGGGAGCTCTCGCTTGTTCCTCCGCCTCTCTTTCAAAGCTCCAGCCAGCGGACGCACAAATGCTGACTTCCCCAGTCTCTAGAACCGCCCCTTGCCTGTGAGAGCTGCACCAAACATTCCCGCTCCCGGCCCGAAGCGACCCCAGCCTTAAGGCTGCGGGCCTGTCATTGCCGCGCTGCCCCCGCGCAGGGGTCCCAGGCTTGGGCCACGCGATGCAGACGCGCAAGCTTCCAGCGGCCGCCGGAGCTTCCTCAAGAGGCGACCGGGTCACTCTGAAAAAACAATTAACGTGTAAACGGCACTTGTGATTGCAACAGTCGTCTCGACACACTGGGCTTATGCAGAGTCCGGCAGTGGGCAGAACATGGGCACAAATATGTGATGTCCAGTTATCCGGCAGTTATCCGATATCAACGAAGACATTCTTAGAAGGAAAGTACTAAGTGAGGAACAGAAACCAGCTACTAATCCTAGTCAAATCCCAGAAAAACAGGCAAAAAATAACAACAAAGGCAATATAAATTACTTTCATTGGATATTTAGAAGTGACAGAATGATAGTAATTAGCACCCAAAAAAGAACCTAGAAATTAGATAGCCCTGGTTATTATCGAATTGAAAACCATAATTTCCAGAAAGGGTTCCACTGTAATAAGCATTTCAAAAAAAATAAAAAAACACTCTCCATTATATTAAAAAAAAAAAAAGATTAGGAAGTTCAAAAAATAGGAAGTAGAGCCATGTCCTTCCACGCAGATAAAAACTTGAAATATTATCTGAGGCAAAATTTTGCATAACTTTAGATTATGCCGTTATTTAAAGTAATTTCAACCAAGTTTCATCACAGCTGAATCCATCTTGTATAAGAAAGCTGAGACACCATGTTAATCTACCTTTCCTTGCTAAATTCTATCTATCAGAAAATCCTGTAGATTTTTACCTACCAAATTTTCCTTGAATCTGGTCTCTGTCTATATCCTCCATCACCACCCTAGTCCAAATTACCTTTGCCTGGGAGGACCAGGGGCCTGGGTGGTGGGGGTTTAGTCCCTACATCGTGTTCAGCTCTTGCAACCCCATGGACTGTACCCTGCCAGGCTCTTCTGTCTGTAAGATTTTCCAGGCAGGAATGTTGGAGTGGGTTGCCATTTCCTGCTCCAGGGGATCTTTCCCACCCAGGGATGGAACCCGGCCTCCTGCACTGCAGGCGGATTCTTTACCGACTGAGCTACCAGGGAAGCCCTGGGCTACTGATTTAGTCTCTGATTGGTTCACTCTCATGCCCTCTAGCCCCTCTCTAATCCTGTCTGCACACAAATGGCTCTGTGTAGAGCAGCACTACCACTTCAGTGGCTTCCCACTTCCTTAGACAAAACCTCTTAACTAATCTGCATGGTCAGGCGGCCTCTTCTCCGCCACTCCACCTCTTCTCACTGCTCAGACCACATTCTGTCCTATCTCTGTTCCAGCCACACGGACCTCTTCCAATTCCTCAGTGTTCTCCCTCCACAGACCTTCCGTGTATGCTTTGCTCTGTGTCTGGAAAGCTCTTCCAGTACTCATCCTTCTGACCACACCTCTAGTCTCTACCTCTGAGAAGTACCTTCAGACTCCCCTGCCTTGGTTCTTTCATATCACATGGCACTGAAACTGTAATTATGTGATTTTTTTGGTGAATTTTTGTTTCCTCCACTCGACTAATTACACCAATGAGGCCGGCCAGAAGCTTGGTTTTCTTTGGTTCATGGTTGTATTTCTATATTTCTTCAGTGTATGTTTTGTCAATTCAATAAATGAGAAGTAATTAATAATTAATTAATTATTCTAATATTAGAACTTGAACTAGATATGGCTTGAAGGTTACCTAAGTCATAGATAGGTAAAATGTCACAATCTGACATTTGGAATCAGAGTCTAAAAAGAACTCCAGTAATTTTTAAAATTGATTTCATTTTGTTTAGCTGGGTTGTCTGAAGATCCTTTGGGTAACCTTTAAAACTGAATTCTCAAAGTACCTGTACAAAGCCCTGAATTAATAATGATTGCTATGGGATGGTCCCACATAAACCTAATAATAATGGTTGCTTCAAGGGAGGAAGACTGAATGATTGGGAGTCAAGGCTGGGAAGAAGACTTTTGATTGCCTGCCCTTTTGTACCTTCCTAATTTCAAGCCATGTGAATATATTAATATTACCTATTTGAAAATAAATGATACAAAAGAGTGCATACTCTGATTCTATTTATTTGAAATTCCAGAAAAGGCAAAACTAGTTTGTGGTGAAAAACTCATAACAGATTGCCTCTGGCAGGAAATTGGGAAGGTGCATGAGAGAAATCTCTGGGTCATAAAACTGTCCCACTTGGGCTAGGCTGGGACCTGGGACTCTTTACCTGAGTGCTTGCACCTGCACAAATATTTCCTTAAGCAACAGAATATGAAGAAGCTATAAGGGACTAAAAATACTTGCACACATGTGCAGATACAAAAAGACCACAAACCAACTGCCATTTCTAAGGTGTCAGGAGCAAAAGCAGGGTATTATGTATGACTTCTGCACACAGCACCACCAGTTGGGTGGACAGACCATCTAAGCTATGCTTCCTGCCCAATTCACCAACTTGCCCATCCCCTCAACTCATTTAGGAAACCATCTTGCCTCCCACCACCGGTTGGAGCCAGTAAGGGCATCTGTTACTCATTTTCCTTCCCTTGTGCTGCAGCATGAGATCCAATAACTTGCCTGAATTTCTCATCTGGCGTCTTATCAATTTCTATTGATTAAAGAGTCCAAGTACTCAAAACAGTAACACACTATTGGTGCAACCACTGTGGAAAATGGTATAGAAATTCCTCAAAAAATTGAAAATAAAACTACCATACAATCCAGCAATTTCACTTCTGGGTATTTATTTGAATAAATTAGTAAAAGCACTAATTTAAAAAGATATGTGCAAAAAAATAAAATAATAAAATAAAAATAAAAAGATATGTGCAGAGAATACTCTGGTGGTCCAGTGGTTAGGACTCAGTGTTTCCCCTGTATGGGGCTCGAGTTTGATCCCTGGTTGGGGAACTAAGAGCCCACAAGCCTCTCAGTGTGGCAAAAAAAAAAAAAGATATGTGCACCCAAAGTTCACTGCAAGATTATTTACAATAGCCAAGATATGGAAGCAACCTAAGTGTCCATCAGTAGATGAATGAATAAAGATGTCATGTATATATACACAATGAAATGTTAGTCATAAAAAAGAATGAAATCTTGCCGTTTGCAACAACATAGATGTACCTAGAGGGAATTATGCTATGTAAAAAAAGTCAGGCAGAGAAAAACAAATATCATATGTTTTCACTTGTAGGTGGACTCTAAAAAAACAAAACAAAAAAAACAAAAAACAACAAACAAACAAATAACAAAATAGAAACACTTAGAGAACAAACCAAATGGGGAATTGAGTGAAATAGGCTATGGGAATTAAGAAGTACAAATGTCCAGTAATAAAATAAGTCATGGGAATGTAATATACAATGTAATATAGAGAATATAGTCAATAATCTGATAACTTTGGTGACAGAGTGTATTAGGTTGGTGCAAAAATAATTGCAGTTTTATGTTGTTGACACTTGCTGTTTGATATTGGAATACATTCTTAAATAAATGTGGTTATGTTATACATCATTTTAATGCACATTTCTCCCTTTATTTTGTTTGCTTATTACTTGCTGTGTATTTATATTTATTTTAGACTAGGGAAATGATGTTAGACAAAAAGCAAATTTGAGCAAATTTCTTTTTTTAAAAGTCTTTATTGAATTTTTTACAATATTATTAATGTTTTATGTTTTTGGCTTTTTGGCCATGAGGCATGTGGGATCTTAGCTCTCCGACCAGGGATCGAACCTGCACCCCCTGCATTGGAAGGCAAAGTCTGGACTGCCAGGGAAGTCCCTTGAGCAATTTTCTTATTCAAGTTCAAAATGAGTTGTAAAGTAGCAGAGACAACTCACAACATCAACGATGCATTTGGAATTGCTAACAAATGTACAGTGCAGTAGTGGTTCAAGAAGTT